TTGCTCCGCCATTTTTCAGACCGAATAGCATCACCTTGTAGCAGTACGTTCCGCGATCGGTGATGAAGGACGTCTTTTCCTGATCGTCCTTATGCATGAGAATTTGGTTGTATCCAGAGAAAGCGTCCATGAACGATAGGAGCTCGTTCCCTGCTGTGGCTTCGACGAGCCGGTCGATATGCGGTAAAGGGTAGCTATCTTTTGGACAGGCCTTGTTCAGATCAGTGAAGTCGACGCACACCCGCCACTTACCGTTTTTCTTTTTGACTACGACGGGATTTGCCAACCACTCTGGATATCGGACTTCGATGATGGAGCCGGCGCCTAGTAGCTTTTCGACCTCGTCATTTACTGCTTTGGCTCGTTCCGGACCCAATTTGCGTCTTTTCTGCTTCACAGGTTTGAATGTCGGATCCACGCCTAGCTCGTGGGACGTTATCGATGGGTCGATTCCAGGCATGTCCTCAACGCTCCAAGCGAAGGTTGACGAATTCTCTTTGAGGAGGGCCACAAGGGCCGCTTTGATTTCTGGACTAATTTCAGCTCCGATGCCGACGCATCGCAGTGGATCCGACGCGTCGATATTCACAAGTTCCGTCCGACTTAGTTCCGATTCCTCGTAGGATTTGCCCGGTGCCTTTGCTACTACGGAGCGGGGCGTGGGCTCTTTCTTTGGTTGCTATAATTTCTTTTCGGCGCGGTTCTTGTGTTCGATCAGGAAACACATCCGCGCTACTTGCTGATTTCCTTTGAGAGTAAAGATTCCCTGATGAGTAGGAAACTTGACGCACTGGTGGTAGGTGGACGCGACGGCCTGCATTTGATGAAGCCACGGCATCCCCAAGATTACATTGTATATCGTCGGTTTATCGATGACAACGAACTTAACCCAGGCGATCGTTCCGCCAACAAACGTGGGTAGTTTGATGGTGCCGAGAGACATGATGAAATCGCCATCGAACCCAGCCAATGGTCGAGAACGCGGCTTTATACACCGGTCAGCTACGTTCATCGCGGTGAGGGTGTCTTTAAAGATTAGGTCGACTGAGCTGCCTGTATCGATCATGACGCGCGTAACTCGGCTATCGCTGACGATTAGCTCGACAACCAACAGATCGTTGTGGGGGAGATCGACTCCGACGAGGTCGTCTTTCGTGAAAGAAATGGGTTTGATCTCCACGGAAGGTTGGCTCGGCGCTACTGGCCACGTCTCCATCATTTCGGCTTTCTTTCGACACTGCTTGATTGAACGGACCGAATCGTTGCAATTTTGAAGACCGCCCATGATCATATGGATTTGTCGAACGACAGCGGGGGCGTCGGCGACAGCTTTGCCATGGCGTTGTCTTTTGGCCGAATCGTTTGCTTGATCGTCGCCTCCAGCTGCTCCGTCGGCTCGATCCTGGAGGAATTGCCGAGCAGTGGCCTCGTTTCGTTTTTGGTTTTTATTGCCCCCTTGGGCTCGGTCACATTCGATGGTGATGCCGCCGCTCTTATACTTGGCCATGAGGAGTCCTTGCAGGTAGCGACAGTCTTCCGTCGCGTGAGCCTTGCTTTTATGATACTCGCAATACACCGGCCCGGTAGTAATGGCATCGGTATCTCTTGCCCATTTGTTCCATTGTTTGGGCGCCGTGTCTTCACTATTTATGACGAACGTGGCCGGCTTTCTACCTTGGCTCGTATTGCGGTCGAGGTGCTGTCTTGGCTCCGCAGGTTTTACCACAGGAGCTTCTTTCGGCGCCGATGCCTTTGTTACTCCGTGCTTTCGTGACAGAATGAGCCGTTCCTCCTCTAATTTGATGTACCTCGTTGCTCTATGAAGTGCGTCCTCGAGCGTGTTCGGGACATGGAGCGTGATATCGTCCCTAAACCTAGAATCGTACCACACTGCGTTGCGCAGAGCTACGATTGCGGCTTCATCTGGGACGACGATCTGGGTAATGACGTCCTTGAAACGGTCGATAAATAGCCGGAGCGACTCCGTGGGTCCTTGCGCAAGGGACCACAGGTCGGCATTGGTCGTCTGGTTCTGTATGAGCGGCGAGTAATGCTTGAGAAACGTTACGGACAGTTCACGATAACTGCTGATTGAGTTCGGCTTAAGTCTTGAGAACCAGTTGAGGGCGGCACCAGTTAGATGCTCGGTGAAAATCTGGTATTGTCCTGCTTCGAAGTTCTCGTCGGTTAGTTAGGCTCGGTTGATCGCGATGCCGAATGATGTCAAGAATTCTTTTGGATCGCCCTTTCCGTTATAGGGCTCGAGCTTTATCTTTTGGCGCCCTCGGAGTGAGACGCTGGTTATTCTTCGAGTGAAAGGAGTTTGCTGCGTTTCTTCAAGGACGCGGTCGAGTTCCGGTGCGGCACTTGTGGCCTTATGAACCTTTGTGTTCATTTCCTGGACAATGCCTCGCAGTTCGGCGAGCTCTAGGTCTCGGGTATTTTCGCTTGACGAAGTGACAGGATGGATTTGCCGGGTCGGCACTTGGTTTCCTTGAACGGGTCGCACACCTTGCATCTGACTTGCACTTAGGCGATTGATTTCATCCTGAGCGCAAGCCTGGGCTGCTGCCAGAGATTCAAGTCGCACGTTCGTCCTGGCTTCTTGTTGGCTCAGGTGCGTGAGGATGTTTTGAAGCAGGTCGTCCGGTTCGCTGCGGTCCTGACTTCTTTGGTTCGTCCCGGCTCTAGTGTCAACCTGTGGGTTCGTCATGTTGCGTCCGTTCGAGGGAGTTATCTGAGCATCAGGACGTGGTGCAGGGTGCGGTCCGATAGCTGCCGCGGTAGGTCCTTCCGGCGTCGGAGGTAGCGAAGGCGGTGCGGCTGCGGGCGTGCATGCTTCTCCTCCCGAGCTGGAGGCACTTGCGCCGAGTGCGTTGTGGAATGCGTCTGTCATCTTTGCTGTTTCGTCGGTTCGTAGTTATGAGAGAAATCTTCGAGCTTCCCCCCTACCTGGCGCGCCAACTGTTGATCCTCAAAATCACACAAGTACGTATTCGGAGTCTTAAGGGTGAAAGAAGAATCTCTTATTTAATGACGAGCCGACGATTACAAAAATAGACGAGCTAAAAACTGAGTATACGAGCCGAGCCGCAAAGTACTCTGACGGTTGTACGAAATTCTCTGTGAAAGCGGTTATTTCGGGATCCCTTTACAAACATTCTTTTTTGCTATTTATAGGATGCAGGAGTAGGGTACACTATGCGTGCGAAATGTCCTTTTTGCCCTTTGGTCGGTGGAAAATCGGATTGGGCCTTTCTTGGGCTTTTCTAGGACTAAACTCTTAATGGGCCGGACCCTTAAAATCTGATTTTCGGCCCGTCTCGTCGAGTTGAAGGCCAAAGATGGGATTATGGGCCCGGGCCCATAATCTACCATCAACAATCAATATCTGAACGTGATCCATGTTTAAGAGAAACTTCAAGATCTATACATGATTCTTTTAAGCTATCATCGTTTGCTAAGTTGAGTTTTCTCAGATCGAACAAAAAATAAAAAGTTTTCTCATAGTCTTGAAATTGGTGTAACCTTATTTGAAGAGAAACTAGAGCTTGATCCATGATTTTGATGAAATACTCGATTCTAAACTTCTCCTCCTCGCTTAGAACTACACTTTCATCATCAATTTGTCTTGGCTCTTCATCAAAATGAGTTCTCCTTTTAGTAAGGCACTTCCTTTTCACATGAAAGATGGGATCAATCTCCATAACAACAACAATTTGGCTTCAACTTTTGCTGCTTCAAAACCAATTTCTCTATTCTTTTGGAAAAAAAGAGACTAACCCTTTTAGTTGAGTAATCTCTGCATCAATATCTATATCTTCACTTTGCAAAGTCTTGCTCACAATATTCACGACAGCCAAGATCTCATACCATATAACAATACCAAACAAAAACTCAAATCCTCCAATTCCATGAGTTTCACTTAGATCAAGCTCTAGTATCAAAGAAGAATCTTAGAAGTCTCACAATGTTCATCATCTATTCTAACAAACTTATCAATTCCAACATCCTCACCTGTTATATGATTCTGAGATTTTGTTTTTTTTTTTTTCAAATACGTGACCATAGAATTGGCTAGAGATTTTGTCAATTCTTCTTCTCTTTTTTTCTTTCTACGTTTTTTAGTTCCATCCTCATGTCTTGATTTCATCTCTATGAAACTAAAAGATACAAAGACATAAATTAGGATAATTATAATCTTATTTCATCTTTGTAACATAAAAACGTTGAAACTCCACGACCACAAAGGAACAAAGTGTTACATAACATAACTGTAAATTTGTAAAAACTCTGAAATCAAATACTTTTGTTTTTTACCTTTGATATAAAGCCAAGCTGATCGTTAATTGAAAATAACAGATGAATATAACCATCTGAATTTGAAAATCAATTAATCAAGTAGAAGAAATCGATATCAATTCACAAAGCTTCTTCTCTACTCTAGTTTACTCTGGTAAATCTTTATCTTCAAACCCTTATTAAGCATTATATAAAAAAAAAAATGGGTCTCTATATTTTGAGGCCCCATACATAGAAATATATCACGGGCCGGGTCTGGCTCCAAGCTACAAAAAAAAGTTGTCAAAAACAAAACGGAAATTTTGATAAAATCCAACAACAGAACGTAGAGAATCTATCAATTCAAAAACTCCAAGGTCCAAACACATCAACCGTAAAGAAAAAAATCAAAAATCAAAAACTTGACATGTGCGCTTCTTAGACTTATGTGATTCTTGTGACGATCTTGGGTTTGTTTCAGGTGGTCATCCTCAACATTAGATGGAACATGCTATTGGATTAATAATGCTTGCGTGTCTGCAAGGAATTTTGCCCAAATTAAACTTTTTTTGACATGAACATTTCCTCTTCTTCAAGTTAAAGACAACATACATACTTGGGAGAGCTTTGCACTGATGTTGGAATTTATAAAACTTGCCGTCGGAAATAAGCATATAAAATGAATATTACATAACACAACCAAAATTACAAATCATAAACATAATAATAATAATAATAATAATTATAATTACAAAGTCGGTAACAGACATACATAACCATAAAACCAAATCAGCGTGTCTTCCTAGCTTACTCAGTGATAATAATGGAGGGAATAATAAGAAGTTGCATATTGTATAAAAGAAACATCAAAGAGCTTCGATCTTCTTCTAAGAAAGGAAGATTCTACTCCATAGTCGACTTCTTCTTCTTGGTCCTCGTAGTCATCTTGGACTTGATAGGTGAAGAAAGAGCTAAAAAAAAAACCACAAAATTAGAGTGAGAGGAATTTAATTTGTTACAAAGAAGCAAGAAGCAAGAATCAAGAGCAAATTACGTACATGATGAGGAGCAGTATCTTATTGTTGTGCCTAGTGGCGGTAAAACCGTAACAACTGCAATATTCCATCCTCCCACGTCACATCCACCAAGCTCCAGGGCCTTCTCTACAGAGCCTGCTCCCAGAATAGAAATGAGAGCAGTGCTGTAAAAATCAACAGAGACAAGTCTTTAGTTTTAGCATTTAAAAACTTGAGAGTTGTCCCAAGGTAGCAACCACAGACCTGTCGAGACCACCGTTTGCGTCTTTGGGAATCATAACATTCGTGATCTCTCCACATGAAGAGAAATGGTTACTCAGCCGAATCTGGATATCAATCTCAGGAAGCGAGGTGTCATACCCCGTAACTATCATCCTAACAATTTGATTTTGTAAGCGTTAATATTATCTTTTTTTTATATAACTCAGGTGATCCTAAGAGCTTTCTAGGCCAAAAGAACATAAAAAGAACGATTTTAAGATATATCAATTTACTTGCGTTGTGGAAGACTGAAGCGTGGGGATTCCGCAGTAGCCCGTCCAGGATCAACGTATTGTCCATCATACGGTGAAGACTTAGCGAATACATTCCATCCTCCCGCGTCACTTCCACTAAGTGCCAACGCCTTCTCTTCCGCACCTTCTCCCGCAATATGAATGAAGGCAAAACTGTGAAACCAAAAAAAATAAAACTAGTTTTTAGTCAAGAGCATCGAACTTAACTTGAGTTGGGATAAAAAGTGGAGGAAGAAGCCATAAACCTCTTGAGGATATTCCTTTCAAAGTCCCTGGGAACATAAATATGTGTGATCTCTCCACATGAAGAGAAATGTTTTCTCAACGCAAGCTTGAGATCATACTCATGAAGTGAAGTGTCATATCCCTCAACGCAAATCCTGCTAAAGCTAGTGCAATAAGATGGTTGCACCCTGCCAATGCTACTGGGGTAATTTGGTCGGACACAGCCAAAGCTACTAAGATAATTTGGGCGCACCCAGCCAATGCTACTGCAATAATTTCTCGATTGCAGGAGATATTATAATCAACATGACAAACTCGATCTCCCATAAAAATATAAAAAACAAATAAAAAGATAGAGAAGCAATTTACCAGTTTTCTGGACTGTCTGCTGCATCACTACCGTTCAAGTCCAGCCCCTAAGGCAAAAAAGATCTGATCAGAAATTTTACTACTTCAAATATTTTTCTTCTTGTGAAGAAACCATTATTAGAGAAACAGAGGTTAGGGAGTGCGTAAGAAAAAAAACGTAAAGAGAAGAACGACTACCTTGGTTGCAGATCGGTCCATTGAGAAGATCGGCGACTGCTAGGTTTCCGAGAGGCAATAACCCTTAAAAGATATTTTCTAGGGATTTATATGGGTCACATGACCCCCTCATCCTTCTTACCTTTGACACTAAGTGTTGATGTCGGAATCAAACTGTTTATTGAACTCCCATGGGAAAAAAGGATTCTCTTCTTGAACGAGCCAAGATTTAGGCAATTTACAGAGAGGTAAAAGGTAGAAGTTAAGACAACACTATCCTAACAAGGCCAGACGACTGTACATATATATCGCCAATGTCGTAACATTGCATGTACCTTTTTATCTTCAAACAAAAAAGTTTCTAGACTGGAAAGAGAGAAAACAAAAAGAGTTGCACACGGCAGAGCATGCTGTTGCGCCACATGTTGTACTCACCAAAACGTTTTAACCACTAGCCTACAGTGAAAAATTTAGTAAACTGATGCTCCAACTGGTTACCACGAAGAAGCTCCGGGGAGGATGAGCGCTATTTACACAGCGGGACTTTTGGCCTCTAACCGTGAATTTTGTCCATGACGTCAACCGTCCGGTGGAAGATGAGTTCTGGGCGACTACTTTGTGTAAAGGTTACATGAGGGAGCAAAATGGGAGGCTTAGATATTTTACTATTCCTAGTCATCGGGCTCGAGCTGGACGACCCTTTTGTCCGGTGGAGGTTGATCGCCGCCGTTGATTTTGTGGTGGGAGATTTATGCAGTCACGTCCCTATTATATATAAAGGCCAATACAAGGAATTTTTTTTTTTTTTTTAATGGATTTGTAGATAAAATTTAAAAACGAGACCAAATCTTAAATTTTCAGAAAAATGAGACCTGTATTTGCAATAACAAATAAATGAAATTCAAAATTTGAAACTAAATCTTAAAAGTTTGGAAAAATGAGACCTATTTTTATAAGAAAAATCATTTTTGGGGTCTAATTTTAGTACTAATACATTTGTTTAATAATGTTTAAAAATTTGGAGCCCAATACGGGCCGGGCCTGTATGCAGTTCACCGTCTTTGGTCGGTCAACGGACTCAGGGCTGGTAAATTGTTTTACCTAGTTTTGAGAGACTTGCTTAGCTGGCATTTTGTATTTTTGCTTGATTTGATTACGTTTTTCATAGTTTTAGTGCATTTACTAAAATCGGTATATACTAAAATCGGTATATTAAATCGGTACTCCTTCCGTTTCAAAATATAAGACGTTTTAAGAAATTATCTTTGTTTTAAAATGTAAGACGTTTTCAAATTTCTATGCAAATTATATATTAATTTAATATTTTCTGATTATTTATATTATGCAGTCTCATTCATGATTAGTTGAATTTTTTAAAGGTGGATATTTCTTAATATGCGTGTTTTTAACTAAAACGTCTTTTATTTTAAAACAGAGGGACTATATTGCATTGTAATGAATAGTGAATACAAATAAAGATCTATCTAAAATGGTCATTGGTCACTTATTTTATTTTTTTAGAATTATTACAAGATTTTAGGTTTAAGTCTGGACATCCTTTTAGACCGATGATCAGAACATTTAATATGGTAGTCACTAGTCACTTACAAAAGTAAACTTGTATTTTGATGGTTTGTTCCATTCGTTGTTGCACATTTTCTGTCAAATTTGGGATTTAAAGTTTAATCAAAGTCCAAATATGAGACTAATTTGGGAGAGAAATATTGGGAGACTAAAAGCTTCTGTTCATCGATTTAAGAAACAAATGTTTATGGAGAATCTAAAGTAAACATGAAGAAAAAGTAACCCAAATGCACGATGGTGATTTAGACTTAATTTTTTAATTTTGGAATTTTATATTAAAGGATATAAATATGCATGTTTGCGGTTTAATAGAAAATCAATTATCTTGATTGGTCTATGAATTGTCCGAGGGATAAGGGGTTCAAATATTATTTTAAATCAAAACGACGTTGTTTTGTGTAGTTTAGCAAAGAATCTCAACGAAATAAAATTAGGTTAATTAGCCCCGGTAGTCAACTTGATGATGTGATTTATTTGAATACATCAAAAAATAGATTAAAATGAAAAATCAATTAAAATTAAAGACTAAAATGAAAACTAAATAAAGTTAGAGAATTATTTTACAGTACATGAGACATTTTTCGGTATTTTTGATGGTTGTATATTTATTTGACATTTTTTCCTATAAAATCTCTATACTATTAAAAGAGAAAATACAAATGAAAATGGGTCGGGTTAAAATCAGAAAATTGATCCGAAATTCTGAAATCGGATCTTTGAAAATTTTTTGGAATATAAATTCGAATTAATAATGAAAAATCGAAATAAAATCAAATATTTATGGAAATCAAATAAAATCTGATTGTACTTATGGTAACTAATAATAAAAGCATATTCCAAACAATATTAAACATTAATTACGTATAATAAATTTGTTCATATATTTTGGGACTAATTCCATAACAATCAACGTTTTTGTCATTAATTTCGCTCATTTTAGCCAATTATCATTAATTGAAAGATATTTTACTTGCTTCTAAAGATTTCTAGAAAATTTATCACAAATAACCCATCTGTTTTATAAATTAAATTGATATTTTTATTTTGGTCGTGTAAATTAAATAGATATTTTTATTTTGGTCGTGTAAATTAAATATATATGAAATCCATGTAACTAATTTTAATTTAATTAGATTAAATCGAAATTATGATATTCTCATACCTATAGCTTACCAAAGAATTTTAATTTTCAATTTATAAAGATTTCTTGAATATGATTTTAGAATTATTCAACAAGATAATAAGTATTTATTAAATTTTGTGAATCATAAAAAATAATAATTAATTTTTAATCATTATACTTCATCTTTCAATCTCTCATCTAACAAATAAGATACATATTCTATTATTACTATGTCCAAACTGTTATAATACATCATATTGGACTTATAACCGGGCCCAATAAGCCTATCAGGGTTATTCATTATGTACTCTAAAACCCTAGGTTTATATGCCTATATATATGTATCGTTATTCATGGAATGGAATAAGATAACAATAAGTTTCACAACACGTTATCAGCACGAGTTTGCTCTTAACAACCCTAACTCTAAAAAAATCGCAAAACACTGTTCACGCCGACACTGTTCATCGATACTGTTCATCAACACTGTTCGCCGATACTGTTCACGCCGACACTGTTCATCGATACTGTTCATCGGTACTGTTCATCGACAGCGTGAGTTACCGAGGTCTTAAGCTCCCGGTTCAATCCGTTCAACCCCAATTGGTGAAAGGTAAAAACAAAACCTTAAAAGCTTAAAGATCAAAAACCTTGTATTACTTAAACCTAACACTCAAAATCGAAAACACTAAGCAATGGCCAAAATCTTAAAACCTAAATCAAATCAAATCCAAAACCGCAATTTTCGTGTATCCCCTAAACCGGAAATCATTCTCGGTTAACTCCTAAACCCGAATATCAATTCGGTTCATCGGTTAAACCGATTATCAAACCGGTTCCAAAAATAATAACCGGATCTCAATCTGGGTAAACCGGTTCAGACTGGTTATTCTAAACCGGAAATCAATTCGGCCCAAACCGGAATCTAACATTCCGGTCCAACTTTAAACCATTAAACCGAACTTATGTCCAAATTAGAAACTTTCCTCATTTAGAAGGTTTCCTCAAATAGAAACTTTCCTCATTTAGAAAGCTTCCCTCAAATAGAAACTTTCCTCATTTAGAAGGTTTCCTAAAATAGAAACTTTCCTCAAATAGCAAATGACCCGGAATGAAAACTTTCCTCATTTAGAAAGTTTCCCAAATTAGAAACTTTCCTCATTTAGAAGATTTCCTCAAATAGAAACTTTCCTCATTTAGAAAGTTTCCCTCAAATAGAAACTTTCCTCATTTAGAAGGTTTCCTAAAATAGAAACTTTCCTCATTTAGAAGGTTTCCTAAAATAGAAATTTTCCTCAAATAGAAACTTTCCTCATTTAGAAGGTTTCCTAAAATAGAAACTTTCCTCAAATAGCAAATGACCCGGAATGAAAACTTTCCTCATTTAGAAAGTTTCCCAAATTAGAAACTTTCCTCAAATATAAAGTTTCCTCAAATAGAAAATTTAATTATTTTCATATAACTATCCTTTTAACAAACCCCTAATGAAATCAATTTCATGTTTCAGATGTCAAACGTTCAGAAAGTCGAGTTCGAGGCCCTCAAGGTTTCCGGTGAAAACTATCTCGAATGGGCTCTGGACACCAGGATTTTCCTCAACTCAAAGGGACTGGGTGAGTGTATCAAAGCGGATAACACCGCATCTGATAAAGACCGGTCCCAGGCGATATTTCATATCCGCCATCATTTGGCCGCAAGCCTCAAACAGCAGTATCTCACTCTTG